TTCTCAATTGAAAGAAGGGATGATGGAAGGTGGTAATATACCACGAGAACGTCCAGGAGTTGATTTTAATTGGCAAACTGGCAATATATAGTGATAATTGTCTGGTCTGTCCACTGCATTGGAATCTAAGGAAAGTACATAAAATTACAGGAGCATATAATTGTTGTACTAAACTCATTTTCTTATGTTATCACAGCTGGCATCTTCAGCTTATTAAAAACCCTTTAAACCAGCCATCTTCAAGGAGATGTAATTGTCAATATGGTCTTTATACATTATTCCTGTTAGCACAGAGCTGAAGAGATAGAAACAGGCACTAAAATCTGCACAAATTTTCTACATATGACTTTCTTATTTCAAGTTCATAGATCAGTAAATGTTAATGATGATTAAAAACCATTTTTTTTTTTTTTAGATCCTTGGTTTCCTCATTAGACGCACAGGGCAATTGATCTAGAAAGGATAATTTGTTAATATTATAATATGAGCCAGACTTTTAAAAACAGTTAGTTCACTAGTTCCAGGAAGTTCTGTCATCTTTTTGTGACAGAAATATAGGTGGCCCTACCAAAAGGACTATTTTCTGAGGTATAAATATTATACCCGCACTAGGAAAAATAAGACTGAATTTTGACAGTCTTGGATGAACAATTATACGTTGTTTTGTCTACATATCCTGGTTGGACAGTCCAGGGACACTTCTAGAAATGTTTTTACACTGTATTCCCCTTCACTCACCCACCTCTGCACACCTCTCAAGGAGATTTTTGGCAACAGAGGAAATAGGGTTATCGGAACAGAACAAAACAAAAAAACCATTCCCACATCCCCCACCCCGACCCTAGCATCCTAGAATAGGGAGAAAACAATCCAAAACATGTAGGGATGTGAGCTAGGAAGACAAGCCGAGGGGTGTCTCAGCCTGACACCCATGATTATTACAGATTCACTGCAGGTTTATCTCGTAGGAAATCTCTCTTCTTTCAGGCTCCACTACCTACTAGTACAAATGGCAGTGAGTTAAGAGCAGTTAATAGTACATATCACAGTCTCCAATAGTAGGTTCCTGTCTCTCCTATTTATTTCTGGGAATCCACAGGGGTACACCTTATCTGTCCTGAAAATGTGACTGCTCAACCTTTATTGATTCCTCTAGCCTCTGCTAGGTGTACCATAGGAAGGTGCCTTGCCTTTAGTCTACAGTGATACCTCTTTCCACTGGGCTCCTGTTTTCTGTTGTGTGTTGTTGACACTATGGACTCTTTTGTGCTACTGGGGGTATTTAATGCCCTGAAACCATACCGAAGTCCGTGCTTTTTGTGTATACTCATGTTCTCAGCAGAGATCATGACTCCATGGGGGGCTGAGGTAAGGGATAAGTCCAAGGTATAAACCCCATGTTGAACTTGAAATCAGGACACAGAGGCCTATGGCCTATCTTCCATTAGGAAGAATTCTTGTCTCAGGAGGACTCTTAGTCTCATGCAAATAACCACATCTCACTGGTCTCCCAGACAATTCGGCATCTCAGATGTGGTGCAGTGTGGGTTTCAAGTAAGTCTGTCATAGACATATATGCAGTATTTGACATACAGATCTTTTCACCACTAAATGATAAAATCAGTGTTTTCTCGAACTCTGGCTTAATCTCTGAATCCCAGATTACTAGCCTGGTCCCAGCCGTATATAATCCAATACACTGGGACTCAGCCATCCTTTAACTCGTGAATTCTCACAGATAACTCTGATTCTAGATTTTGAATCACTGCACACATTTAAATATTTTTTTTTACCATCTCTGTTAAACACTGCAAGTAGCAAAGGTTATAATATATTTGAATATAAACATAGTCTGACATGTATATTGGTTAAAACAAAGCTTTTATTTACTGTTATTTAGCTACAATGTTAGGGAAATGCCAGTGTACATGTTTCAGCCTAAAATTTCAATAAATGTTTTTCAAAGTCTATGTGCAAGATTATTTTAAGCACACTACGTTTTAATGTTATTGCTGTAGTTATAACAGACATCAGCTACCAATTAGGATAATGTTTTATTTACTTTATATGTCAAGAAAAAAACCCACTTGGTTGTAATTAGCTACTATATCTCAATTACATTGTGATAGAATGTTAATATCATTCAGAATAAAATCTGGAATAAATCAGTTAATAATCTTGACGATTTTAAGATAAAATAACCCTTTGTTCTCAAATTTAAATATTTTAGTATGTTTGCAAGCTAACAATACAAAAACTTGACAAATTCAAGGACAAAGGGGTTTTCCTTACTCTAAGCAAAGAATTAAATCTGAACACAGGTCAATAATCTTCAGAAAGGTTGGCCTGCTAGAGCTCTGAACATGTCCTATGAGTAGCTCTTACAGTCTTAGTCCACTGTGAGCCTTGCTGTCTTTTGTCTAGCTACCCCTTACCTCTTTTAGCAGTGATGACAATTATAATAAAAGCAAAACTATACTACTGTAGACATCATATTAGCATCTTAGCAGGAATTGGGTATTTCTATAAATGGGATTTCTAAGTAACTGAACTTTATTAAAATTAAAAAGCTTCAAATATTTTTGATGGAGAAATATTTATAAAATGTGTATACATTAAAAATCTAATATATAAAAATCCATAAGATAATTAAATATTATGTTTTCTTAATAACTATTTTTTTAAAACTTTATTCAAATTAATATGAGGGTACAATATTTAGGTTACATTGTTCTCACTTCCAGGGCAAAGTTCCATTTGTAGAAGAGCCCCTCACTCAGGGGCATGTTATACACCCTTACAATGTACACATTAGGTGAGATCCCACCTAATGTCCTCCCTCCCTTTGGCATACATCCTCCCATCTTTCCCCTTCCACTTCCCTCTACCCCCAAACTGGACTATAATAGTGTTTTATTGTTCTTAGGAACATGTAATTGTTACATATTGATTTCATATTAGTACGGAGTACATTGGATGTTAATCTTTCCATTCTTATGATACTTTACTAAGGAGAATGTATTTCAACTGTATCCAGTAAATGCAAAAGATGTAAAGTCTCCATCTCTTTTAATGGCTGCATAATATTCCATGGTATACATATACCACAGTTTGTTGATCCATTCACGGGTTGATGGGCACTTAGGTTGCTTCCACAACTTGGCTATTATGAATTGAGCTGCAATGAACATTCAAGTGCAAATGTCTTTGTGGTAAAATGATTTATGTTCTTCAGGGTAGATACCTAGTAATGGGATTGCAGGGTCAAATGGAAGGTCTACATTCAGATCTTTGAAGATTCTCCATACCTCTCTCCAAAAGGGTTGGATTAGTTTGCAATCCCACCAGCAGTGTAGAAATTTTCCCTTCTCTCCACATCCACACCAGCATCTGGTGTTTTGGGACTTTGTGATGTGGGCTAATCTTGCTGAGATTAGGTGATATCTGAGAGTGATTTTGATTTGCATTTCTCTGATGATTAAAGATGATGAGCATGTTTTCATGTGCTTGTTAGCCATGATAACTAATCATTTTGAATTCTAGAGCCCAGATATTTCTTGGACTTATGTGTCCTTCATTCATTTATCCACTCAACAAGTATTTATTTAGTGTTACTCTGTTCTAAGAACTCTAAAAGGCAGTAGAGATATAGCAGTGAACAAAAAGACACCAAAAGCTCTGCCCTGATGGAACTCAAATTCTAGTCGCTATGTAGGATGTTTGCCTGTGCAACAAAGGGGCCCTCTTTGCTGTGGTTTTGGTTGCTCTGTCTTCTCCTTCTGTTGTCAGCTGTCACCTCTTGCTGGCACCGCATGTCTCCCTTTGATCGGGGTAACCATTGCAGGTCTTTTCCCCTAAGTGTCTCTCTAAGCACATAGTAAACCATATCCCGGATGGTGCTCAAACACCTCATATGCCAGTAGAGGTGTGTTGTCCTTGACCTTGTGAGAGTAGTTCTCCTACCCCAACTCTCAGTGTTTGGGGTCTTCCTTTTTCCCTTTCATTGTTCACATGACTCAATTCTAATGATCTGATTCAGTTATCAAGCCCAAAGTCCTCTGTGCCATCTATGTGCAAATGAAACTCTTACAAAAGCAGACATCACCACGTAATAATACATACTAATATTGTAACATAAACCATGATCTTTCTTACCATTGTGGTAGTTTTTTTCTGATAATTCTCTGAACCTCCATATACGTTTTAAAAGGCAGACACCAAAACTTTCAAAAGGGAAGAGAACCAGGTTCCCTACACGCCTATGTTTTGACCATCACTAAAAACTATCTTGTAGGAGTACAGAGAGACAAGAAAGAATTTTGAACTGCATTTAAAGGGATGGTGGTGACTAAAGTAATACTTTACAGACTTATCAGATGTTGAAGCTTTAAGGAGGTCACCCTGTGTGGCAGTGAAGTGTGGTAGTTAAGAACTTCATTTCTGGGGCCAGATTTCTCCACCTGTCACAATCATTTGACATTGCCCTGGCTACTCAACAGCTCTGTGCCTCAGTTTACTCATCTGTAAAAGACTATGTACTTGCACGTGATCATGAGGATTAAATGAATTAACACAGGTAAGGTGTTGTGCCTGGCACACAGGAAGCACTTGGGGAGTGCTAGCTGTTATCTCAGTCGCTTCACTTATTTTTGCAGATGAAGTTATTGGCGGTAAGACTTTAAGTGAACAGCAGGTTAGAGATAAACCTAATACCCAAACCAGATGTCCTGATTCTCACCACATTATAGATATTTTTCTGACATCTTGCTTATTTAACAATTGAAAAGAAGTACTGAATCATTTAAATGATCCGGAAGGGGCTACTCAGTTGTATATAATCCCCTCTAAAACAGAAATATCCAAATATGCCTTTGCCCAGTTCTATTTCCTTAATTCCCAGAAGACCAGACTAATTCTACAGAGGCAAGTGATAAAGGGTCAGGAGCACAGGTGAAGTTTAACTTCATGCAGTAACATGGCAACCATTTCCTTCGCCTTACCTTAAACTTGTCAACTTCAGCTTTTGAACATGTCGCGTGGTATGATAGCACCTGATTCAGAAGAAAGGAAAAGAACTCAATAACTAGACATGACTATTTTCTGATAGTCTCCTGGCTTAAAAGTAAGCTTTGATAATGTATATCACCTTAGTAACAGTGGATTTTAATGTCTGATGAGAAATAACATATCTAATACGAGTCTGTGACCTAGATCCTACACGAAAGGCTATTTCACACCAGGATTTTCCTATAGGCAGTTATTTCATCAAATGGACATGGTGTGACTCAAGACCACAGTTCCCAAAGGATGTGAATACTTTCTTTTCCTGTGAAATTCTCTGAAAACAAATAAAAAAGTAGTGTGCACATGCGTCTACTTCCATTCTCTCATTGTTCTCACATCCCTGCTTTTATTCTGCAGGAAAGGTTATAGTCTGTGTATTTGGAACCTTTTTTTTTTTTTTTTTTTTTTTTTTGAGAGTCTCACTTTGTTGCCCTGAGTAGAGTGCCATGGTATCATTATAGCTCACAGCAACCTCGAACTCTTGGGCTCAAGTGATCCTTTTACCTCATCCTCCTTAGTGGCTGGGACTACAGGTGCCACCACAAAACCTGACTATTTTTTCTGGTTTTTTTTTTGTTGTTTGTTTGTTTGTTTGTTAGAGATAGAGTCTCATTATGTCACCCTTGGTAGAGAGCTGTGGCGTCATAGCTCATAGCAACCTCAAACTCTTGGCTTAAGCGATTCTCTTGCCTCAGCCTCCCAAGTAACTGGGTCTACAGGTGCCCATCACAACACCTGGCTATAGTTTTTCTGTTTTTAGTAGAGATGGATCTCGCTCTTACTTAGGCTGGTCTTGAACTCCTGAGCTCAAGCAATCTACCTGTCTCAGCCTCCCGGAGTGTGAGGATTATAGGTATGAGCCACTGAGCCTTTTGTGTTAGAGGATTATACTGCATTGACATCTGTCTTAGTATGTGACTTGCTTGGCCAATGGGGGGAAGTGATGAATGCCACTTTTGAGCAGTATCTTTAAGAGCACTAACATGGTTCTGCCAACTTTCTTTTTCCCTCTACCATGGGAAAGACATGGTCCACGAGGGGCTGTAACTTTAGCCTGGGACCCCAAATAATGAAGACATATTGAAAGTACCGTCATTAACAAAAATGTCTTTGTTTTAAGTAACATCTTCTCTACTGTAGACTTTTTTCTTAGTGATTTCACTTTTTTTTCTATAGTTTTCAATCTTTTTTCACCTTTGGGAGGTGAAATGTTTTATTGAGAGGTAAGTATGTTCTATGAGGTTTGGTTATTAAAAATAAGGTTTTCCACTGGAGAAGTATTGACCATGGAGACATTCCCTGGAGTGAGCTGGTATTTCACAGAGTTCTTAAAAAGATTAAATGCAATAATAATACTTATCAAATACCTGGCATACAAATAACAAATTTATATTTGTTGTACTAATATTCAATTAAGATCCTATCATATAAATATTTGGCAGGATATTGTGTTATATTATTATCTTTGTTGCCTCCTAATATCAATTGGTATTTTCAATGTGAAAATAATTGGATAGATTTTCTTCCTTTGATTTGGTTTTACTGTGGTAAAACTTAATTTGGCTGTCATCTTATTAGAATTTCTTACTGTTTACAAATTCATTTCTGCAGATGCAATCTGTGAGATTTATCTTTACCTTGAACAAAATTCTACAAAACTCAAGCTGCAATTCAAACATCTCTGCCACCAGGTGGCACATAGCCAGGCTTTTAGTATGCAAAGCACGCTGTCCCCTGCCCCGACACCTCTAGATTAAATCAACTTTTCCTACTTCCTTTATTTTTTTAAAAGCTATTAACTCCACTAAATTGAAACTATTTGAATCAGTGAAGCAGACAATTATTATAGATTAAGACTTTTTGCTCAATTAAAATTACAGTAGTTTCTTTGTTTGTTTTTGAGTTGTAGAAGTACTTTGCGTATTTTAGATTCAAGGTCCTGTCTATATGTTTTGTAAATATTAACTTCCAGTCTATGACTAGTGTCTTCTAATGAACAGAAGTTTTAAATTTTGATGAAGTATAATTTGTCAATTATTTGTATTATAATAAAAGACATATAGAAGTCATATTGATATTTTAATATTACTTCAGTGTCTGCTCACACATGGAGATACAGTGTTATTGTTTCATATTTCCATTCTAAGAATTTTTTTTCCTGTCCTGAAGTTGTGAATATATATATTTATCTTGTGCTGTCTTCTAGAAACTTTATAGCTTTATATTTTATGTTTAGGTCTATGAGACGTTTGAAAATTAAATTTGTAAATAGTTTAAGACTTTAATGAAATAAATACCTTGGCTATTTTCTGGGCCACAATTTGGAGTCAAAGCTCTTTTGGATTTCATTTTGAGATTGCAAGCCTCTATTCTGGCTAATCTATTAAGGATACAGGAATTTATTAATATTTGTTCTACCTAATTTAACAAAGTTAATGATAAGGAAGCTTTTGGTCTTACCTTTTGAATCTTCTTGTTTAGAAAGTTCCTGTTTCCTTTTGAGAATTCATTAGGTGAATTTTAATACATTAAAGGAGGCAAAGGAGTGGCCTAGCTTAAAAATCTTTTAACCACCTTCTCCCAAAAGAGTACTATTCCCATGTGGATGGGCAGGAAGATTGTTTGGCAGGAGGGGGCCCTTTGGCAGACTATAGTCTTAAAGGGTGGTAGCATTGTCCCATCTAAGAATCTTTAGAAAAACCAACAAAGCAGAGGAGCAGGATTCCTTAAGACAAGGGAACTACTGAGTCTTGCTTTAAGAATACTCCGATTTTCTCTTTCCAAGAAGTTCCTACTGTTTGCCCCTAAAGGGTTTCCTGGAATGCACTGAGGAAGGTGGTGGTGCCCAGTTGTTGCAGCTTAGCTTTTGTGTTTGAGGTTGGATACACAGAGCTATAATATTTTATCTCCAAGGTTATCAAATATCTTAAGTCTGGAACATTTTCAGCAATGCTACTTTTATGAGCTGAAGTGTGTGCCCCTGCCCAACTCATTTATTCCATTCCTAATCCCTAGGACCTCAGAATGTAATTGTTCTTGAAGATAGGTTCTTTAAAGACATACACAAGGTAAAATGAGGTCTCATGGCTGGGCGCTAATCCAATATGACTAGTGTCCTTATGAGAAGTGGAGATTAGGACACAGGCACATAGAGACCCAGGGATGAACCTGTGAGAACACAGCCAGAGGTGGTCATCTGCGGGCCAAGAGTGAGGCCTCAGAAGAAACCAACCCTTCCTACGCCTGGGTTTTGGACTTCCAGCCTCCAGAACTGTATGGCAGCCATAGCAAACTAATAGAGCCACAAAACTTCATTAGCCTAGGATCTGTGACAAATCTATGGATGCCATTGAAGCAACCATAACAAAGGTAATTTCTAATAACTTTTAGTGCAGTCTTCAAAAGAAAATCATTAATGTTTATATATATGTATATGTTTACATGTGTACACACATATATATATAAATAAAATGTGGCACAAGAAATCAGAAGTTTCTATTGCAAATATTTAAGAAACTGCTGTATAATAGAACAAAATGTTCAAAAAGTACTTTGATAACTGTGTTTGCTGTGATCTTTTATCATGAGTTGATGATAAAAGATGATCATCTTTTATATTCAGAATATATCTGCCATAAAAATATTTTTGGTTGATATATATATACACACACACACACACACATATATATAAATAATATGACACAAGACTAGAAATCTGGCCAATTTGTCCAGTTAAGAAAAAAATAAAACTTAACAAATTAAAGAATTATATTTTTAAAATTACTATCGTCAAACCTTCTGGGATAAGTTAAAGTTTTCTTCACAATTCCAGACTATATTAATTTTATAAGCTACTTAAATTTCCTAAGAGATATATTTCACAGCAAGTATTTAGGAAGACCATACATTTTTGGAAAAGAATATCTGATCAAGTAAAAAAGCTTTAATTAAATGCATTAAAATAGATTTGAAAAAAACAGGCATTTGTAAAACACGATTTATTTATATATATAATATGTATACATACATATATACACACTATCTTTCTCTATAAGAAACATTGTTAGGTGATGAGAGTTTAGCCATAACATACACACTAGTTAATTTTTCTGACAGCTAAATAAAATATGTATAAAGCTTATATACAAAAGTAAACAGTTGATCCACAAAAAGTTTCAGTTGTGAAACTTAAACTTACACAAGAAAAGTTCTATCCCAGATAGATTTATCTTTTGTGTTGATATTAAATTATAAAATACTTTAAACAGTAATGATTGAGTTTCATTAGTGAGTTCTGACTTAAGAAATCTTTACAGTTTCTGAAATAAACCACTATTTGAAAAACCCTACTGTCTTTAGTTAGCTTTTGGATTGCACTTGCTCCTAGCAAAACACACAAAAAGCAAGATAAAGAAATTATTAGACCCATGAAAGACAGGACAGAAGTCATGATTTGTGTTGTTTGCACAGCAGGAAAAGACAATTGGCTATATTTCCAAAGAAAAACAATGGGCAGAGCTATGAGCCAGGACTACTGGATGGAGCCTTGCCCTTCCTTACGTGCAGTTCAAGACCAGAGCCAAATGCTCGGCTTGCTGTCCCACAAGCTTCCCTGAGTGGTGGAGGGCAGATCCCTCACACCAATCATTTCGAATGTTAATTTACTGTGGCTCTGGGCAGCCATTGGCTCCTGAAATGAGATATGGACCATTACAGATGCTGGCTGAGAGGAATACAAATGCAAAGAACCACTTAAGGATGGAGAGGAACAAAGACGCTACTCAGGACCCAGACTGGCTGTCTGGGCAGAAAAGGGCTGAATGAATATTTACTGATATGTTTATGGTCCTGGTGGCAAAGTGGCACTCTGTGATACTTGGAAACTAAACTGACTGAAGTCCAGCTGATCTGCAGTAAAATGCCAAATAATTTATATTGATGAGCTCCAAGGAAACAAAGAAGCTTTCCTATCAGTGGTAATTCTCCA